CCGCCCGCGCCCCTTAACCCTTTGCGGGGTCCCCTGCGCTGGACGCCCGGCCCTCGCCATGGCCCTGGGGGAGCGGGGCCCAGGCGGCTGCCAGCTGTCCCCAGAAGGATCCAGCCCTTGGGGACGGGTCTCCTGAGCGTCCCAGGCTGTCCCCTGGCAGACCTTGGCGGGATGGAGCCTCCCAGGCTGGGCCAGCCCCATCGGGAGAGCCGCCAGGTGCGGGGAGGGGTGTCGCTACACCCAGGACCGGGGTTCTGGGGACAGGTCAGCTTGAGATAGACCAGCAAGGCCCACATGCAGCCACGGCCACGCCCAGCCGGGCTCAGTCGGTCCCCAGGCACCTCGGTGTCCCATGGTCACAGGGGAAACTGAGGCACAGGGTAGTGCACTGGTGGGGGCGGAGCTGCTGACCACCGCCAGCCCACCCTGCCTTCCCTCCGGGGACACAGCCCGGGAGGCCGGGCGCAGCCCACTTGGTTTTGGTACCCGGCAGTGGTGGGAGGAGGCGCGTGCTTTGCCGGTTTGGCTTTAATTTTCTTGCTGGCAAAGCTGCCCTGTGTTGCCGACAAGGAAAACGATTCGTCCCGCGGCTCGAGGTAGTAATGACACCACCAACGGTCCCTGCCGGGCACCGCACGAGGCCCCAGCACCCGGGGCCCCTCTTGTCTCACAGGTGGGGAAACCGAGGCTCTCGCAGGAAGCCCCAGAGCCCACGAAGAAGCAGAGCCGGGGCGGGCAGTGCCGGGGATGCTGCCGCACTCGGATGGTCCTCGAGCAGCAGGCGGAGCCGAGGCCCAGCCATGTGCTGCTAACGTCTTTCCTCTGAAGGCCCCACAGCCCATCTGGGACAGACCTGCTCTCTCCTGGACGCGGGCCGGGCAGTGGGAAGCGCTGGCACAGGCAGGGACCCCAGGGGCCTCTGAGGGCAGGTGGAGGTGACCACCCATTGCCCACACTCCTCCCTCCCCGACAAAGATGACAACTCAGGAATGTTGGGGTCCGGGGCTCGGGGACGGGCAGTCTCTGCAGCTCCCACTCCCCTGGCCGAGGGGCGGCGGCGCAGGGGCCTCGGGACGGGTCTGGCAGCGCCAGGCCGTGGGGACCAGGGGCGTGGCGTCCAGTCCCAGCAGGGAGAGGCGGGCGTCTTCGTGGGCAGGGCCCAAGCAGAGGGGTCTGAGCTGCGGGTCCAGCAGTTGCCCCACCTGGTGTGCCCACTGGCCCCATGGAGGGCACAAGCCACTGTGGGCGCAGCCATGGCTGGGAGGCCCTTCCCGTGGGGATGCTTCTTTGCCCACGCACCTGGCGGGGGCGCCTCGGCCCCCCTCACCTTGGGGTCCACGCTGACCCAGGGGTGGAGGTTGGTGATTTGGACAAAGTGCTGGTTCCATGGCCCAAGGCTGGGTCCCGAGTGGGGCTGAGTTGTGGTGATACTTGGAAGAACGTGGCCCAGCCGCCATCCACATGGGGTGTCCAGGTCCTCTCTGGCATCCAGTGGCCACCACGTCACCACCCAGAAACATGTCACAGAGCCTAGCGCCTGGGACGGCAGCCGCAGCAAACCAGAGCTGGGGTCGGCAACATCCTCCGTCCCGGGCCAGCTGGGGCCTGGCATCGGAGCAGACGCCGCCGAGGAAGGGTCCCCACGCCAGGACCCCGAGTCTACGACACCACTCGGGTGCCATCTCCTCATGCAGCCTCCTGCCCCAGGGGACTGGGAGGGTCCCGGCTCTGCCTCCCCCAGGCAGCTGCTGGGAGGACACAGGCGCTCGGAGGTGACAGCCACGCCTGCCGAGCTCTCGTCCCAGCGGAAAACCTGCCCCGGAGCCGCACAGTCCCGGGACGCCCGGGGGCTTTCCCAGACCCCCAGCACGGGCGGCTGTCAGCCCCACTTCCCCTTTCGGTCTGAACAGGGCATTCTGTTCGGCTGAGATCAGAGACAACGCTCTGCTCTGGGTGAGGAAATGAAGAATAAGGAACTTTTCCCGCTGGCCTGTCCAGGATGGGCTGATGGAGCGAGCGCTCTGGGGGGCGCTGGGCTTGGGAGGAGCTTGCACTTGGAGCCCGGCCAGCCTCGGAAAGAACGTCGCCAACCAGGGGCTCTTGGGGGGCTCGCCTTCCGCGGCAAAACCCACACCAGCCAGAGGGCCGGGCAGCAGCCTGACCCCAGGGAGCAGCCCTGGGGACCCGGCGCCTGGAGGCTCCCAGGACCCCTGGCCGGAGGGGTGCCCGGGGGGTGGGGGGCGCAGCGTGTCAGCAGCCAGGACACAGGGAGGGGTGGGGAGGGCAGAGAGGGGGCACAGGGAGGGTGCAGAGAGCCGGCTGCGGCGTGTGCCCCTGAGCCAGGCGGGGTGTCGGTGCACCGTGAGGGGTGGGGGCGGCCCCGATCCCCATGAAATGCAGATGTGGGAGAACCTACGGGAGGCCCCCCTGGGCCTGGGCCGAGGGGGCTTTTTACCCCACGGCAAGTCAGATGGAGGGCCCGGGCCCCCAGGAGTTAACACGCAGGCGCCCCGCCAAGGCCAAACAAAACTTCAGGGCCTTCCAGCCCTTGGGAACCTGGCAGGCCCCAGCGCGGATCCCGGGCTGCGGGGGCGGGGCCCGGCTGGCTTTGTCAGCGAGCCGGGCGCCTGGGGTTTTCCTTGGTTCGGGGTGTCAACGCGTAGCTTAGAGGGCCATATGGACCCGGACAGCCCTTGGCTGGACCCAGGACAGGCTGGGCCGGTTCCACGAAGGCCGCGGGCCGGGAAGGCTGTGGCATCGGGAGCCTGGCGGTGGCAGCCCCTCCCCAGATGCCCCCGCACCTGGGGGGCTTGGCACGGCCGACGTCAGGAACCCTCTTAAAGCCGCGCAGCTCTCCTCACACGCGGCCACTGGAGGGCCTGGAGCGGGAGCCCCGGAGTGGGCTGGGGAGGGGGCGGCTGGGCGGGCAGGGGCGGGCTGGGTGCCCCCACCGGGCCACCCCATTAGAGCTGCAGATGCAGCTGCCCCTCCTGTTTGGGTTCTCGTAGGAGGCACAATCCTCCCACCCCCAGACGGAGGTGCCTTGAGAGGCAGCGTCCGCGTCCGCGCAGCACAGAAGTGGCGGCCCCAGCCCGGAGCAGCCGTGCGCCCGGGAGGCCTGGCAAGGGGACGAGGCTGTCCCCGTTGGCTGTCACTCCCCACAACCATTTTCTCCCTAGAAACTTCCCTCCAACCAGACAGCTCTGCCCGGTCCCTGCGGGGCGGCTTTTATCCCGCTCCCAGCCTGGCTCCCTGCCAGGGCCCGAAAAATGCGGTCGGCTCCCAGCGCTGCGCAGCCACCCAGAACCGGCTCCGGGACTCGCCTGGGGGGGAAAACACGGCCCCGATCTGGCCCCCCTGGACCCGTTGTGCCCACCGAGGCCCCCCAAGAAGGGAGACGCGGCCCTGCTTCCCAGAGGTGGCTGCGGCAGGGCGGGGAGGGGTACACTGAGACCCCAGGCCCGCGGGCGCCTCGCGGGGTGAGGGGCTGCCCTGCCTCAGTGGGACCCTGCGTCGGCCTGCTCAGGGAGCCCAGGCCCAGCCTGTGCCGAGAGCACCAGACCTTCACCGCCGGAGCTCATGGAAGCAACACACAAAACGCAGCCCACGTAGATAAAAAGCACTTTTTTAATTTTATCAAACTGATCTGTACAAAAGTTAGTGTTGCTTGGTCAGAAACTAGCGCATTCCAGTGGGCGAGAGACAGCACGTCTTCCCGGACGCGGCGCCGAGAAACAGATCACATAAAACCAGTTTGCCACGGTCCCCCACCCCCAGAGAGAGGTGCAAAAAAAAATTCTTTTTTTTTCTAGAAAAAGGTAGGAAAAGTAGAAAAAGTAAAAAGAAGCAACTTCTCAGATGTATTTAAATTTACAAAGTTTTAAAGGCACGAGTTTCCACGAAGTAGGCGGTTATCATATGCTCAGCGAACAGCAGAAGCAGTGTAGCTAAATCAGCTTCTCTCCTCTAACTCTAAGGACCTAACGTTTAGTGGAGAAGGTTTAGTTTCACAGCTTGGTAGGTGGCGCCGGGTGCCTGCAGCCAAGATCCTCGCGTTTCTGAAGCCACCCTCCCCCGGAAATTCCTGTCTTCTGCCACCTGGCACACTGCGGGCAGGACCAGCCCTGCCTCCCAAACCCCAACCTAACCCTGGGCGCCGGGACACCCGACCTGGCCATAGACGCTGCAAGGCAACCCCTTCTCCTCCCGAGGGTTTCTGGCCACCGAGCGGGAGGGGGGGGGGCTGCCCAGCAGAGGGCGGGGCAGGTGTCCTCCCCAAACGCCCCAAATCTGAGCACTGAGATGCCGCCAAGGCTGCGACCCTCCTCCCCAGCGGCCCCGAGCAAGCTTCCCGGCTTCCATTTTGTCTTAAATTCTACTCTTTGCACAAACTACTTCATTAATTAAAGATAAAATAACATGGAACATAAATACATCTTTAACAGCTTTGAAAACAACATGTTTAAGCTTCAAAAATAAAAATTGCCAAAAAATAAAATAAAGAGAGAGACGTTTTGTTAAGCACAGCCACACCTTGCCCGGGAGAACCGACTACAAGAGCGCCAGGGTCTCACAGGCTGGTCCCGGCGCTCGCTCGCGTGGACCAATCCCGAGCGTGCGACACACCACCCGCCGTCCCGGGAGTGTCCTCGTCGGTGCCGGGGGTCTCCGTGCCCAGGCAGGCCTGGAGCCCGGGCAGCCACAGCCGAGACCACGCGCCTCCCGTCCTTTGTGCTGCTGCTTCGCACGGACAGAGACGAAGCCCCAGCAGCCGGAGTCCGTCGGCCACACAGAGGAGGGACGAGTGGCTGTCCTTCGGGATTCCAGTCACCTCAAAGAGGGAGGAGGAAGGAAAGAGAGGGCCGTCCCTCAGCCGAGGCTTGGAGACCTGCAGGCCTCAGGCCATCGGTGACAGAGGCGTTTTGGCAGCTCCGGCAGGCACTTGGCGGGCGACCCCCGCGGCAGCCGCCCACAACTGGGAGACCCGGGGCCTGGCCTGTCTTGGCCGAGAAGAGGCTGTCCTCCGCTGGCGGGAGCCCCTCCAGGGCGCGGCGGCCTCAGGGCCTGGTGAGCGTGGTGTACACGGGCTGCTCCCAGTTACTGGTGGGGCTGTGGGTGGGCGGCAGGGACAGCCCGTTGAGCAGGGGCGAGGCGTAGGGCCGGCGCGGCGAGTGGAAGTAGGGGTACTGGTAGAGGCCGGACGGGTAGCCGGGGTAGGGGCTGTAGTAGCCGGAGGCCTGCAGGTCGGCGTAGTCACACTGCGAGCCGGCGAAGGAGCCGGCGGCCGTGGCGGGGGCGGCCGTGGTCGCGCTGGCCTGGGCGCCGTAGGAGCCGTAGTCGGCGCGGCCGGGCGAGCCGTGGGGCTGGTCGCCGTAGTGGCCGGGGCTCAGCTGCTCCGTCTTGATGTGCGGCCGCGGGGGGCCCACCTCGGAGGGGGAGGCCGAGGCCGGCGGGGCGCCCTTGTGGGCCCACGCGGGGGACGCGCCGGGGTGAGAGTAGGAGGCGCCCGTGTAGGATCCGGCGGTGGCCTGGCTGGGCTCCGCGGGCAGGGCCGAGTGGCCGTTCAGGGGCAGGTACTGGTCGAACTCGTGGACGTCGAAGGTGTCCATGTTGCCGATGACCTCGCTGCTGAGCTCGGAGATGTCCACGTTGCTGAAGTCGATGTTCTGGCGCCCGCTGTCCACCAGGCGGCGCCCTTCCAGCTTCAGCTCCGGCTTGGCCCCGCCGCCGGCGCCCGCCTGGTGCAGGTCGGCCTTGGGGGTGGTGGGCGGGGTGGGCGGCCCGTGGGTCTGCCCTGCGGAGAGAGCACACTGCAGGGATGAATGCTCCTTCTGTGGGCGCGGGAGGGGCCGCGGCCGGCCACGAGGGGAGGGACACCGCAAGCTAACTGCCGCAGGTACGAATGAACGGCTTTTTGTTTCTTTACATTTCCCAGAAATGCCAGCAAAGTCAGACCCAGACTTCATTCCTCGGCCGAGAAAATTCCGTGAAGCGCAGTTCTACGGGAAGACCTCGGCCCATCCCGGGAGACCATGGTGGGGGTAGAGGGCGGCAAGCGGCAGCCGCGGCGAAGCCACACACAACCTCCTCCCCGGCACTGCCGAGCAAACCCGGGCTCCAGCCAACGTGGCCAAGGCCGCTGGGCTCCAGGAGTCCACCCGCCCGTCTGACCCTGGGGCTGGGGCTGCCACCGTGCGGCTGCCCTCCTGTCAGCACAGCCGGTCTGGCTGGGCCCCGCTGAAAACACCCACCTCCTGGGGCACCAGACCAAGGGAAGCCAACAGAGACGGCTGGGCAGCCCCCTGGTGGGTCAGAACCAGCTGTGCTGGGGGGCAGGGAAGGAGGCTCCCTGTTGGGCATCTGCGCTGGGCTGGCAGTGAGCCCCGCCCCCACCGCCGTGGCTCAGCCTGGCGCCGGCCAGACACCCAGACACGCCCCTACCTGCCCCCCACCCAACTCTCAGATGCCACGGGGCCCTGGCGCCCACCTGTGTGGTCGCCGTGGTGGTGCGCGTCACCGAGGCTGGCATCGGCCTTGTACATGGCGCCGCCAGGGTGGTGGCCCAGCTCGGCGCCCGAGTCCGAGTCGCTCTGGCCGGTCTTCACGCTCTTCCTGCGGCGCGGCTGGTACTTATAGTCTGGGTGGTCCTTCTTGTGCTGCACACGGAGCCGCTCCGCCTCCTCCACGAAGGGGCGCTTCTCGCTCTCGCTCAGCAAGCTGCAGGGCAGGGCGGACACAGGCATGGCCAGGGGCCCACGCATCCTACCCTGGGGCTGGCGGCGACGGCCAGGCCCGAGGGCCGAGGGCCGAGGTGCAGGGAAAGGACGAGACACCCTGTCCCGGGAAGCCGCCACAGGCGCAGCCCTCGCGGAGAACAGAAGGCGGGAGCTGCGGTGCCTGCCTGGGGGGCTGTGTGCTGTTCCAGCCAAAGGAGCGGCCCCAAACCTCTGACTTCTCCTCTTACTGCCCCCCTTCCCAAGCCTGTCTGTACCCTCCCTTTGGGGCTTTCTGAGGGAGGCAGGCAGGACCCAGCCTAGAACTACACTGTGGACAAAAGCAAGGCCTCCCGGGAGCTGTGCTGGACCCGGCGGGCAGCGGGCTTGCAGCCGCTCGGGTCCCAGACTTAGAAACTCTGGCGACACCCAGGCGTTTGTCCTCCCTGCGCCTCGGAACACACGTTCCGCACAGCTCCCGTCCAGCTGCCGCGGCAGGGCTCAGGGGAGCAGGGCTGTGCCCCAGGTCGCGACAGAAGGCAGGAAGGGCAGGTTTGAAAGCTCCAAGCCTCCGTTCACCAGGCGAGGAGCAGGAAACAGGGAACTAGAGCCCCAAACCCACAGACTTCCATTTTAAACCCAGGTGGAGGACGCTTGGTGGGGGTGGCCTGCTCCCGGCAACGAGTCCTCCACTGCGTGTCCTACTTTCTGCCAACGGCGTGTGCACAAAGCCTGCCTCGGCCCCGCAGCTCCCTCCTCGTCTCCCCTCCATCCTCCCCTGCTGCGGGCACAGAGGTGGCCGGGAGGGGCCGAAGCTGTGGGGAAGGCAGCAGCTGGCCAGCTGGCACCCCGTCCACCTGCCGGCCCCACTCCCTCCCATGGGCGTCCTGGGAGCCCTTTCCAAGAAGGGCTCCTCCCGGGAGCTGCAGGACGCCGCCTCCCGCGCCTGGCCCGCTCACAGTGGCTGGGGGTCACCTCGCGGTGCCAGCCACGGCCCCCGGCAGGATGTCCCCAGAGCTGGCCAATGTGCCCGAGAGCGTACATACCACAGGGGCGCACATGCCACAGCTGTCCCGGCAGGCCCAGACCCACGCCTGCTGCAGGATCTCGCCCGCAGGGTGCTTTCCCACTCGGGTCGCGGAGCCGGAGGAGGCCGGCGTGGGGTTGCAGCCCCTGAGCCCCCGCGCTCCCCCAGGCCCCGCTCGCAGCCGGAGGCCAAGCGGCCAGGGTCCCCGCTCCCCGCCGCCACGCGTCCCGGGGACAGCGCACTCACCGCCACAGCTTGCCCAGCGTCTTGCTCAGCTCCGCGTTGTGCAGGTGCGGGTACTGGTCCGCCAGCTTGCGGCGCGCCGCCTGCGCCCACACCATGAAGGCGTTCATGGGCCGCTTCACGTGAGGCTTGGCCTTGAGCGCGCCGCCCCCGCCCCCGCGCACGGGCATGGGCACCAGGCTCCAGTCGTAGCCCTTGAGCACCTGAGACACGGCGTCGCGGATGCAGGCGGGGAAGCGCTCGTCCGCCGCCTCGGCCGCGTCCCCCCGACCACCGCCTGCCGTGCTCCCCGCGCGGCCCAGGCCCTCGGAGCCCGCGGGCGACGGCGGCGCGTCCGAGTCCGAGTCCTCCACGTGCGACATGGAGCTGGCGGTGCCGGACGGGCTGCAGGGCGGCTGCGCGCGGGCCTCGCTCATGTCCAGCATCGGGGCTGCGCGCGGAGGGGCGCGCACGGGGAAGTGCACCGGGGCCGGCGCCCGGGCTGCGCTGCGGCCGCTGCGGGACCCGAGGTCGCCGCGCGGTGGCCCGACCTTCGTCGCCACCGCCGCCTCCCCAGCTCGGGCGCCCCCGCCGCCGCCGCCGCCGCAGCTCCGTCCGGGCTCCGAGACCCGCAACAAGTTTCTTTAAGCGGAGCCCGAGGCCCCTCCCCCCACCCGTCTCCCCATTGGCCGGGGCGCTCCCCACTCCCACGGGGGCGGAGCTCGGCCGCCCCCGCCCCCCCACCCATAAAGGAAGCTCCGCGGTTCCCGCTGCGCCCCCGCCCGCCCCGCCCGGCGCCGCACCACGTGGGCCCGGCGCGCCCAGCATCCCAGGACCCGCGCCCTCCCGCCTCCCCGCGCCGCGAGCCCCCCTTCCCGGGGGACCGGGAAGGAAAAAGGGGGCCCGGAGGGGGGCGGGGGCTCTGCGGCCCCGTGGCCGCTCCTGGGTGTCCCGCCCCCAGGCCCACGCTCAGCGAGGCAGCGGGTCCTCGGGGCCACCCCCAACACACTCTGCCCGTCTCCAGCCCCGACGTCTCGCGCGCAGCCCAGAGGCGCCGGGTCAGCCGTCGCCTGCCCGCGGCCCGGGGCAGGGTCCGCTCAGCCGCGCAGCGCCGACGCCCGGGCTCCCCGTCCGCGCGGGCGCGACGTGCGGGAGCCGCCAGCCGTTCCGAGCCTGCGGGCAGCGCACGTCCAGGTAACGCGCGCCCGGAGCCGGGAGATCCCAGGTCGCCCTCCCCGTCCGGGCGCGAGCGCTGGCGGGGGCGCGGTCCCGGGCCGGGCGGCGGGAGGGGCGGGAGCGCTGGGCGGGGCCTGGGCTGACCCCGGCTGCCGAGTCCCCGAGGCCACCAGGCGGATGGCGTGGCCGGACGCGGGGGCCTAGGGCCTTCCGGGTGTGACCCCGGGGTTGGAGGCGCACAGGCCCTCTGGCGCGGCGGCTCTGGGTGGTCCGACGGAGGCGGAGGCAGCGCCCTGGCCTCTGCGCCTGGGGCGCCTGGAGAGGAGGAGCGGGGGCGGCGGGGTCGGAGAGGGGACATTTCCCTCGAGGCGAGCGCCGAGCCACTGCTGCGAGTCCCCGCCCGCGGCCGCCCCCGCGAGTTGGCCCCAGGCCCGCAGTCCTCGAGCGCGGCCCGGATTCTGCCGACCAACGCGCGAGAGGCGACAGCCACGCCGGCCCCTTAGGCGGCCGACGCGGGACTCGTGCGTCCCCGAGGTGTATCCCGCGAGACCCGGCGACCCTAAGCAAGGGTGCCAGGTCCCCCAACCGCGCACGGCTCCCGCGTCACCTACGCCTGGGCCAGTGGCCGCCAGTGGCCACCGCAGTCCCGGAGTGGCGCCGCCTCCGACCGGGCCGGCAGAAGGGCCTGGTGTTCCCAAACGGCAAGTCGGCGGCTCGCGCTGCAACTTGCCAACCTCGGGCTCGCTCTGGCGGGCGGGGAGATGTGGCCCCGGGGCTGCCCGGACCCGCAGCCTCACATTTGGAACGGGTGGCACCATGTCCAGGAGCTGGGGCTTCAAGGCAGGCCTTTCCCGGGAAGCGTGGGTCTGGGGACGGAAGAGCTAGGGCTAGACTCCTGCCACCTGCCCGCGGTGGAGGGGAAGGTGCCCTTGTCTGGGCACACAGGGCTGACGGGGGGTGGGGCGTGGGGAGCCTTGGGGAGGGCCACCAAGGTGAGCTGTGCGCCGGGAGGCTCCCCGTGAACTGGGTACCAGAGTGGCTGTGCTGCCCTCTCCTCCGCCATCTGCCACCTCTGGCTCTGTCACCTGCCAAGGAAGACCCCTCCCCACCAGTCTGCTGCTGCTCCATGAGGAAGCCCCCCCTCACCCAGGTCCCTGCCTTGGTCCTCAGTGGTCTGCGCAGCAGAACCCATGGGGGCCTGAGTCGGGGTGCCACCAGGGGAGCCAGGGACCTTCTCGCCAGACCTTGGACCCGGCAGTTGAAAGCAGGGGTTTAAGTGGAGGGGACAGGGGTGGGGGACCTGGCCCAAAGGTACTGCCTCTCACACCCGCCCTGGTCCCTGGGGAGTAGACTTGCACCCCTCCCTCGGCCTGGGGTGCCACTGGGGCAACAGGTCTCCAGGGCTCCGCGTTGCCGGGGCAGACAACGCAGTGGTTTTGTGGGTGTGCGGGATGGCTCCCTGCCCACCGAGGAGGGCACCACACCCATGTCCCCACCCCTGGGACCCTTGGGGGAGAGGACACAGAGCCCAGGAGTCCAGCGCCTGGCCCGGGTCACACAGTGGTCAGTCAGGGCCGTCCAAGGTCCTACCTGGGCTGCGGTGACCACCCAGGGGCTGGCAGGAGGTGCCGGTGGGTGGCCCTGTCACACCTGTGCAGGCCACTGGGGGTGAGTGGGCAGGGGCACGGTCCCCGCCAGGGGTGGGCCCGGCTGGCCCAGAGGGTGTCTTTGCACGTCCCCAGAACACGGTGTGAGAGAGGGCCTGGCCCCTCCTGACCCAGCTCAGGGTCCAGGCCCTCGAGCCCCGTGTGGGGTGCAGGGACATCAGACTGGTCTCTGGTCCATCTTGCAGTCCGCAGGGCAATGCCAGAGCAGTGTGGGCTTCCCCCTCTGTTAGTGCTGACTCAGTTCTGCCCTCGGCCACTAGCTCCTAAGTGGACCCAGGGACCTGGCTTTCAGAGACGGAGATGCCTACGGTCGGTCCATGTGTTCCCAAGTATTGATTAAGCACCTGCTGTGTGCCGGGGGCTTTCCGTAGTGGCACTCCATACTCGTCCCAAAGATGCTGGCCTTGGGGCCTTGGGGCAGGGGAGGTAGCCAACAAACAAGTAGTGTCACCAGGGCAGAGGTCCTTGTCACTGGGCGGGATGGGGGGTCTGTAAGAAGGGATGGTCTGGGGAGGGTCCTTTGAGCCTTTGACAATTAGGCTGAGACCCAAAGCTTCCAACCTCATGGAGACAAGAAAAAGCATTCCCGGGGTGGGCGGCATGTGCAAAGGCCCTGTGACAGCACCGAGCACAGGGAATTTGATGATAGAGGCCCTGGTGGTTGAGGAGTTGAGGGGCAGCTGTTGGAGCCACCACTATACCCACGTCTTGGGCCCCACGTCCTCACGAGTGGGCCCCATTTCCCCCTCCCCTCACTCCCTCTTCCCTTCCCGGACCTGCTGGGCTGGCACAGGCCCCCCCACAACCCTCACAGCAGCTTCAGGGAGAGGGTCTGAGCAGTGGAACTGGAACCAGGTGTGGGAAGTTGACAGGAAAGAGGTTTCTAGACCCCCACCCTGCAGAGGCGCCCAGGGCACCTGCGCAGAAGGGGTGTGGCTGGAGGGTGCTGCCCGCGCCCCGAGAGGCCAGTCTCGGCCCGTGGGGGCCTCCAGGCCACAGACCCCACACAGCCCACTCGTGGGTTTCTAGGGATGGCGCCCCCGGAAGGCTGTGTGTGGACAGCGGTGTGACGTGCCGTGTGTTTACTTGTGTGTGTGGTGGGTGTCTGTTGTGTGTTTGGGGGTGTGCACAGCATGTGTGTTGTGCTGCATGGCCGAGTGCCCTCGTGGAGCGGCATGGCTGTCCCTCCCTGCTGGTCCCCTGTGGTCCCGCCCACCAGCCGCCTGGCCCAGCGAGGCCGCGTCGTGTTTTGTGCGGACTCCAAGGGAAAAGCGCTGGGGGCCGGTGGAGTGGCCCGTGTGTCCACAGCCCTGGCCTGGCCTCCTGGCCCTGTGCTCAGAGGCAGTTGGCGTCGCATCCCGGCGAGGCCTCGGACGTTAATTGGTGCTTTTAATTACCGGCTGGTGTTGCAGAGACGAAACAGCGATGGGTGCACAGCTCTGAGCAGCGGCTGGGTGGAGACAGCCGCCTGCCCCGCGGATCCCTGGAGAGGCCGGAGGGGCTCACCGGGCTCCACCCGGGGTCCCCCTTTCTGGAGCTGCCTCCTGGTACCAGGCTCGCGGGGCTCAGGAACAGCCTTCTGCTGAGCCTCCTAACGTGGCGTCCCTGGGGTGCTCATGGTGCCAGCTGGGGCCCGAGTCATGGTCTGGGTCAAGGCTGGCCCCTTGCTCGGGGTGACGTCTGCTCGGGACTGGCCCTGTCCATTCCCTGCCCTTTCTGCAGCCCTTGGACACGACGGAAACCACCCTGTGCTCCTCGTTCCTGGCCCTGCGGGAGCGGAGTGTTCCAGCGCCCGGGCGGGGCGAGCTGCCCGCGCCTGTCCCTCCACGTCCTCAGCCCTGCCCCCCTCCGTGCACCGAGAGCCCCTGATAAATGGACCCACACTCGTGGGTGGCCGTCCCGCTAGGAAAGGGTTCCGGGGGGGGCCCAGCGCTCATTTCTCCCCAGCGGCAGGTGCGCGCACGGATCACAGATGCGTTGGGAACTGCTGTGGTCCCCGCTGCTCTGCGTCCATCGCCCCGTGCCGCTAGCGGGTCCCCACACTCCCTGCTGTGCCCCATGCGCCCCTCCTCTCGGTCGGGGGTCGGGGTGGAGTGGACACCAACAGCGCCGTCAGCTCTTGGCGCTGCGTGCTCCATGGCAGGCAGAGGTGCTTCTGCAGCCAAGAAACACCTGCAGGCGGGGCCAGGGGCCTCCATGAGCAGCGAACCACGGAGGCACCTTCCACAAGGAAAGCCGAGTCTGTCGGTGATGTTTGAGGCTCGGGGTCGAGCCATCCCTGCTCCGGACGTTTCCGTCCCATAACGTAGATTCCCTTCCCCGACTGTGCCTTGCACCAGAAGGTTCTGTGATAGACACGTGGACCTCCAGCCCCATTCTGGGCCTCATCCCCTGGATCCGGGGCCCCAGCCCATCTCTGAGCCCCCAGTCCACCCTGGTCCCAGGCTCTTCTTCCGGGTATGAGCTCCTCGGAGAAGCCACCCCAGTGCCTGTGGAGAATTTCTCAGGCCCACCGGCGGGAGGGAAGCGGGACACTGGCGGGACTCTCACTTCAGAAAAGCAGCTTTCTGGGCCCAAACAGGCTGCCACGACCAGTGTCCGTCCTTCCAAGCCCGACTCTCGGATTTAATGAGGCTTCTTGCCCAAAATGCCCAAATTTGAAACCTGCCAGAGCAGACCTGTTTCAAGTATGACTAGGGAGGAAAATGTTGGCTCGAAATAAACACGTCACAAAGAAAAATCCCTTTCCAGTGAGGGGGCTCTGCCCGGCTCGGGTGCTGACCTCCTCTGCCATGATGGAACATTCCAGAGAATCATTAGGTCCACGGGCAAATTAAAACACACCCTCTGAAAAGATCTCTGCTGTCTCCCAAGTATTTATTTTTCTGAACATGCTGAAGGAAGGTTTGATTAAGATGCCCTCAGGCGTGTACGTTGGCAAAGTGGAGGAAAGCAGCTGGTTCTCAGCAATACAGATGGTGCTGCTTCGAGGGGCTGCAGTCAGGAGGCTCAAACCAGAGTCTGCAGCAAAGCTTTGCTCCCAGAGGCTTGTGGGGGGTGCAGGAGACACGGGATTCCTGGGTCTGCCTTTGCGCCGATTCCCGTGGGCTGTTTTTTCCGGGGTTTTTTTTTCGGCGGGCTTTGTGTGGTGTTTGTTGACTGACTGACTGATACTTCTCTGTGTGCACAGTGCAGCCCGTTGGCTTCCGGTTTGTGACCTCTGGGTGGGGCAATTTCCAAGACTTCTTCCAGTTCAGAATATGAATTCCAGGAGAAACACATTCTTTTTCTGCCACAGGACCCCACAGCCGGAGAACATGACTGCGTTAGGAGGTTTTCTTCCCACTCTGCCTACGAACCACGCTTGCCGGCTCGCGGGGCTACACGGGGCCACATCTTCTGGGGTACAGGGGCAGGAGCACTCCTGGCCCGGAGCCGAGGGTGCAGGAGGAGACCGGGCCAAGCAGAACAGCCGCCCGTGAGTCACCGTCCCAGGACGGCCGGCAAATGGCATGACACCTGCTCACCCGCCCCCACCGCACCTGCCAGCCTCACTCCGGGGGTGTTGGCCACTGGACAGCCACGGCGGCATCTGCCTGAACTGACCGCCCTTCCAGAAGGGTTAGCATCGACGGGTCCTGCCCCCCTCAAACAGATTTTAAGACATGAAAAATTGGGGTAAATGAAGGGTGCACGATTAGATTCGGGCCCAAGCTGGGTTCTTGTGGGTGCCAGAGACAGCTGCAACTGAACGTCAGGGACAATGGCCCTGATGCGGCGGGAGCTGCCAGGCCGGGGTGCCGGGGGGACAGCTGGACGAGGTGCTGACAGGGGCTCATTCCGCTGTGAAGCCGGCCCGCAGCTGCTGGGAGCGCAGCCAGCCCCCGGCTGTGTGTGCCTCGGTCCTGGGGGTGGTGCTGGCAGAGGCCGGGACAGCGGAGACAGGGTCCCACCCTGGGCGTCCACCACTTGAGCTGGCGCCTCCACTCAAGGAAGCACCTCCTGCTTTCTCCCGAAGCCCAGGGCAGCCCTGGGGCAGCCTCTCCTGTCAGCTGGACCTCTTCTCACATGGTCTCTGCTCTGCGGTGTGAGTTCAGGAGCCCCTCTGCCTCCCGTGGGCGGATCCTCGCCGCCTGTGGCCTGCGGGGCGCTGAGCTGCAGGGAGAAAGGACACATTCAGAGACCCCGCCTGGCAGGTGGCCCCCCTCCCCAGCACGGATCTTCCCGGCGCTGCAGCTTGGTCTGGGTTTGCAGAGGTTTCTATCTTTCTAAGTGGAGCACGGTCTTAGGGAGTGAGGCACACCCGTGTCTAAATGTTATTTTTAAGTTGCCAGATGCTCCTTCGTGCAGATGAAGCAGGTTTGGTGTAAATGGCACGACCCATTCAGGCAGGGGACAGCAGTGCCGGCCCGGTGGCTCTGCAGCCACACCAGTGCAGGGTTGTCTTTTGTTGTTTTGTTTTCGTTTTACTTTTTTTTTTTAATCGGGGTGAAATTCACAGAGCATAAAATTAAGCGTTTCAGGTGGTGTTTAGCACATCCACGCTGTGGCACAGCTCTCGCCAGACCTAGTCCCAGAGCGTTTTCATTGCCCCAGGAGGAAACACAACCACTAAACAGTCCTTCCCGCGCCCCCCAGCCCTGGCAGCCGCGAGTCTGCTTCCCTTCTCCGTGATGTGCCTGTTCTGGACATTTCACGTGAATGGAATCGCACATCACGTGGCTTCCGTGTTGGTCTTGTCTCGCTTAGCTTGGTATTTGTGAAGTTCGCCCATGCTGTAGAGTGTCAGAACTTTCTCTCTTAAGGCTGAGTGATACCCCAGAGCACTTTGGATCAGCTTCGGGCTGGGACGGGCAAGAACGGAGCCTGTCCTTGGCCAGGCCCTGCCCCACGTGACCCAGGCTCAAGCCCAGCCCTAGGTGGTGGACGGGCCCCACAGGAAACTCAGCGCAGGAGCTCCCTGCAGGCCCTGTGCACACCCAGAGCGAGCCCGGAGCACAGCCGGAGCCTGGAGCACTGGATGCGGAACAAGGGCCCTTTTCTGCGCTGCACAATGCCCCATTGTGCTCTTCCGGGGGGGACAACACAGCCCCAGCGAGGGGACGCTGGGAACAAAGGGGCCCTTTGTGAGACTGCCCCCACCTGAAATGCAGCACCCAGGGTCACACCTGATGCTAGAGCCGTCCCTCCTGGCCATCTGTCCCCTGGGCAGCTCTGGCATCCAGGCAGGGACCCAGAAGTCCTGCAGCTGGGGTGAGTGAGGGGCGGGGAGGTGCGGGTCTGGGGTCCCGTGGGAGGACTGGGTGCAGGGCGCAGGCTGGGCTAACTGTTCCTGCCATCCTGGGGCGCACACTGCCCTGCCCGGAACACGCGTGCTCCGCCCACCGCAACCCCTTTTACACAGCCCACCTCGCAGCTGGGCTCCCAAGGGAGGGGTTTTCGTGGAGAAGAAAAGGAAGCTTAAAGTCACACTGTGAGCTGTCCACGTACGCTGTCGCCCAACACGGGGCAGGCTGGCGGTTGGGGAGGGGTCCCCGCAGCTGCCGCGCTGGGCTGGTGTTGGGAGAGCCAAGGTCCAGCCAGTCCCTGTCCTCCTGAGGCTCACACTGCGGTGGTCAAGATATAATTAAACAAGCAATGAAGCTCGATCCTTTGACCATGCAAGTATTAATGATTTATGTCAAAACCCTGGGAATGAAATTGAGAGGCTGGGAAAAGCTGTAAAAACAAAAACAAACCCAGGGCAAACATTTGCATTACACACAAAAGAGCATTTCATATGTAAAAAGCTCTCACAAATAAATAAGGAAAAACCCACACCTCGAAGATTTCCTTCTGAAAGCCCTGCGTGTGTCCAAGGGCCGGGACCTCCACCCCTAGGGACCTGCGGCCCTGCCCCGCCGCCCTCGCCGCGGGCCTGAGCGCCCAGGTCAGAGTGCGGACTCCCCCGGGCGCGGCCTCCGTCAGTGGCACTAGGTCGGTGGCACTCGGGCCCCAGGGCGGCGGAAGCGGCCAGGCTGGGGCTCCCGGCGGGCGGAAGGTTCCGGGGGGTTGTAAGGCCCGGCCCAGGCCCACAGCCCCGCGCGCTGGGAACGGCGCCCGCCCGGGAACGCGGGGCAGGAGCGCGCCGGGGCCTCCACGGCGACGGCCGGAACCAGCAAGCGGGGTCTGTCACGCGCCCCTCCCGCACCCAGCCCCGGTCCCCCCGCCGCAGTGTCCGAGAGGCCGGCGGGGGCGGACTCCGCTGTGGGCGGGGCGTTCGGCCTGTGGGCGGGGCCTCCCGTGCGGAGGCGGGACGTCTGGGAGCGCGGCCCTCCCCGCGCATGCGCCGTGCCGGCCGAGCAATGGCTGCGCCTGAGGCGTCGTTGAGGAAGCGGAAAACCGGGGACGCCGACCCCGCGCCTGGGCCGCCGCCCGCTGCGGGCCGCGATTCCGCGGACAGCCCGGCCCGCCTCCGCTCGGGCACCTTCTGGCTGACCAGGATCGTGCTCCTGAAGGCCCTGGCTTTCGTTTACTGTGAGTGCCGGGCAGGCCCGGGCTCCCGCCGGCGTCAGCAGCGCCGCGCGCCCCGCACCCCACGCACGCCCCGCACCCCACGCACGCCCCCCGCTCCCCGCTCCGCCCCCGCGCACGCCCCGCACTCCGAGCCCCGCAACCCCCGCACCCGGCCCCTCCTCGCTGCCGCAGTCTGGGCGAGGCGAGGCGACGCGGGCAGGGGCGGGGAGGGGAGGGGAGGACGGGGTCGCGTAGCAGTGACTGCACCGGCCCCCTTTGCCGTCCGTGCCCGCCCGCCGGCTGTCGTCTCCTGGTGCCCCCCAAAGTTGGCACAGTGCAGTTGTGCGTGGCGGTGGCGGCCCCAGGGCCCCTGCCCCGAACCTCGGAGTCACCCGGCTCCGGCTCGGGATGAGGTCGGGGTTTGCGTGCGCCTGCTGCCCCGCGGCACGCGGCAGCCCCGCTGTGAAGGCGTGAGAAGTTCCCGCTCTTTCCCGGCCTCTGCAGCCCCTTCCCAAATCTGGGAGCCCCTCCCGCTCCGTGTCCCGGCGCGGAGTGGAAGGTGACTCTGGTGGTCCCGCGGCCGTTTCTTCTCTAACATTCTCGACCAAGCTGCTCCTTGGGGAGGGTTCCTGGAGGAGGCTGGGTGGGGAGGGGCGACGGGCCGAGGACTTCACTGGGGTCAGCCTGACGCCTCCCTCGGGGATTTGACCCACCGGCTGAGGACCCTCCAGGCCGCAGCTGTGCGGGGCCTGCCTGCTGACCAGCCTGCACAGCGGGCTTCTGGGAAGTCAGCTCAGGCTCAGAACCTCTGGACGTGTCCAACTTCCTCCCGCCCAGCCCCCTAAAACCCAGAACTTTGGTTTGGAGGGGACCGGTCCCGTGGTCATGGGGACGTTAGTGAACACGCAAATGTTTCATAGGCCCAACCTGTCAGTAGTAACAAAGACTGAACCCTGCGGTTCCCACGCAGGCTTGGAAGTGGGGGGAGAGCACAGGCAAGACGGTGCTGGCTGGGGTGGGAGGGCTGGGGCTGCAGAGGGGCTGGGCCGGGCGCTGCCCAGCGCGGTTGTCCGCTGTGGGCGTGGAGTGTCTGTCTCATTCTTCACCTGCTGTCCTTGCGCGGAAGGAAGGTCCCCATCGCAGAAGCTCTGTTCCCCGCGGCGTGGGCGGTTGGCTGGCATATTCCTGTGGAGGGGGAGGCTGGGCTTCACACTGTGTGTGACGACTCGGGCCACCTCCTAGTGCAGAGCAGAGACGCGGTCACTACCGTCGGGCTCTGTGGGGTTGCCCACGTGGGCTTCCGCTTAGGCACCTGCGTGCACTGGAGCACTTTCCCTGCCTGGAGCTGTTAAAAAACAATAGTTCTCCCCAGCGGTGCTTTCTCCTGCACAGCATTGAACAGTCATTTATAAAAGTTTGCGCTGTCACTTAGCAAAAGATAAAGTCAAGATAAAGTGAATCTGTGAGACTTTAATAGACCTTTAAAAGGAGAGCCTACACTGCAGTGGGAGCCCCAGCGGCTTTGCGTGCTCGCGCTAACCCTGCGCAGGGGCTTTGCAAGGAGCGGAGGCTGCCTTTGATCTCCGCAGGGACCCTCTGTTCCATTAAATGTTAAACCACTGGGTCAAGCGGGTATTTTAAGCCTGGTGCCCAGCATGGAGCAGTTTGCTTTGATGTGCATTTTCTTCTGTCTTGTGAGTGAGTATATTTGGGGTAGAATCAATGCTTTTCAGCTGTATCAAGGAACCAATTTCCCATCTTCCGGGGATGTGGTTTTCTGGCTGAGGCCTGGTGCAAGCTGACAGTCATCCTGCATTTACCTCTTTCTAGAAAGTTCTGGATTTACTGGGACCGTGAGCCACATCCTGTCCCACAGAATCCCAGGGTTTTTCCAGAATGCCATAGGGGCTCTCCAGATATTTCACTCGAGGTTGAGTTTTACAATGTTTCTGGCTACAGAAATACTTGTAATAGAAGACACAGCCAAACCCGTTCTGTAGAAACTCCCGTTGAAAGATGCTGAACTCAGGCAGGCTTAGCCTCAGGCAGCTTCTCTCCAAAGGCATGTAATAAAGACAGAGAGATCAGGAGAACTGGTTGCTTCAGAAACACAGAAAGGCCCGGTGAAGACTTGAAGCCAGACCCGAGAGGTTGGCTGCCAGCAACAAGCTTCTTCCTGTCTCAGCCGGGTTTTGTGTCCGTGGCGCGGGGCCCTTCCCCAGCAGCCGTAGGCGACTCTGCGGTATGTCGGGGTGTGTCGATGCCAGGGCTGCGCTCACTGCACGTGGTTCAGGCCGTGCACGAAATGGTTTCTGGGCCGTCTGCGGTGATCGTGGGGGCCGGAGCGTGTTCTATTATAGGGAAGCCGCGTCTCAGCAGGGCTGAGGAGCAGGCCGGAGTAAGGATGCGCCTGTCATCTTGACGTGCGGCCCCGTCCCTGAGATGCTAATTGTGCTGAACAGGCATTGCTGTGGCACCTTGCCCGGGCGCTTCTCAGTGCACCTTCACCCCCTGGCGACGTCCCCCTCCCGGTGGGCAGCGAGGAGGCGGGCTCAGCCGCCGGCCTGTGTGCGTCGAGTGCTGACGGTCCTGGGGTCCAGGCCCCTGGCTCCAGCCCACGTATCCCAAACACCAGCTTCACCTCTCAGGCCGTGAGGGGCCCCTGGGAGGACAGTGGCTGCCCTGCCAAGGTGGCAGTGGACACCTGACACCGCCCGTGCACCGCGGACGGGTTGCTGCTGCCAGGAGAGGCTGGATCTGGGTGAGTAAAAGCTCACGTGGTAGGACTTCCCGGCCTGGGCTGCGGTATCTGGGTGCTGGTCCCTCCTGTGGTCAGGCCCGTTCCTGTCCCTGTGTACAGAGACAGAGCCCAAGAGCGAGTGCCGCACTCAGGGTCCCTGGGGACGAAGGACAGAGCAGCCTGGCCAGGAAGCCCTGTGACACGGCCCCTCCCGATGGCCGTCATGCTAACAAGCGCGACCTGGTGTTCTCTCATGAAGAGTGGGGCTAGCAGGGCCCACCCCTGGAGCCTTCGAGGGACACGTAGGAGGGCGGTGCGTGTTGCTGTGAGCCCTGCATGGGGCTGGACACGCAAGTGCTCACCTCGTCTTAGAGACGGACCTCAAGTGCTGAGCCTCTTTCTGCTGGGCTCTGCGGGTAGAAGGCAGCGGAGGACGTGGTAGAGACTGTTGAGCCCTGCGGGGAGAGGCGTGTCCAGTAAAGAGCTGGTCTGGAGCCCTGCAACCGGCCCGGCCCCTGGGCCCTTTGAAAACCCCCCTTCCTGGGTGCGGAGGAAGGTCCGTGGTCTGCGGCCCAGAGCAGCCGGGGCAGAGCTCGTGGGATTCCGGGCGGCTCCTGCGCTTGTGAAAGCCGCCGTCGGTGAAGCCGCGTTTGGAGCCACGTGGGTGCTGCGAGTGACCCGCCAGAGCGAGACTCGATCAAATCCGTGCCTGCTTTTCCTGGGCTGGACTCAGACTGGTTTACCGTTGATGAGAATTACACATGATATGTCGGCGAGGTGTCTAAGCCACGTTGGAATCGAGAAATTATTTGGAAATAACGTCAGTACAGTTGGTTGGCATTGGATTGATCGTTGCCGGTTCACTGAAGAGAACTTTCCGGAAGCGTGTGATCGGTGGGAACTGCGAGGCTCAGAGCTGGTCCTCCACACCCAGCCGTGTGACCTTGGCCACGCCACTCATCTAGACGGTTCCGTCACGAGGCGGACAGCTGGCTCGGCCACCGCGGGGCTGGGGCGAGACTCCTGCGCGGTCAGGCATGCTAGCTACCCTGAGAACAGACCGGGACGCGCTGGGAGAGGCTTGCGGGCAGCCGCTGAGCGCACCTGAGCGTAGCGAGAGGACATTTCCTTTGAAGTTCAAACGTTCAGGAGACATTTTTCCAGCTGGGGAGGCGTTTGTGGAGACCGGCGGGCGCGCGTCTGCAGACTGGTGCTGCGCTGTCCGGCGCTCCACCTCCCCGTCATGTGACAAGGCGCCTGGGAGGCTCTTGTTCTCTCCTGGGGGCCTCAGGCGCTGTCCAGTCTCAAGACCGCGTCCTTATCCCTGGACGAGCTGGCCTCACTGCGTCCCTCAGTCCAAGTCCCGCGTCTGCGCCAAGCGGAGCGGCCCGGCTGGGGACCCTTGCGCGTCCAGCTTGAGCTGGAACGGGAAACATGCCCCTCATGAAGCGTAAATAGAGAAGAAAGTGGCTCCTCCCGGCCCACTGCTTGGCGTGGTCCTCGGGTGACGTGGGCTCCCCAGGGCGGCAGGAGGCATCCGAGCTTGTCCTCCGCTTCCACGTGTTCCCCTCGAGCCCCGGGGCACGTTTCTTCCCAAAACGCGACTTCTGAAGGGCCTCAGAGCCAGCGGTGGGTGGTTTTGCTGGCGACGCCGTCGCTCGGGTTCAGACGCGTGTGTGGCGCGCGTCTCGCAGGGCCCGTCGTCCTGTCATGCTACACGTCGCCGGGGCTTCACCGCTTCTCCCCACAGTCGCCGTCGGGGTACACTGAGGCGCATCTGAATGGCGCTTTGGGAAGCTCGTCTCGCGCTTCTTCGAGATAAATCCAGCCTCAGCTGAGCCCCCGTGGCTCCGCCTTCTCGACGGCACCAGGACGGGACTGACTCGGCCAGCAGACCCGTGGCACCGTGTTTGCCAGCCTCCCGGCTGCTCCTTGGAAAATTCGAGGACACAGGGCCAAGAGGAATGGTTGAAGTCCCGCTCTTATTCTGTTCTGTTCTGAGCGCTCGGTGGTTCTGAGAGTGCGCGGCGCGCCCCTCTCTCCAGGCCGCTTGAACGCTAGCGACAGGACACGCGCCGCTTGGCTCTGCAGGCCCCTGTGTGGAAGGCCTGGGCGTGTCCACAGAGCAAACCGCTCGCCGAGCTCTGGGCTCTGCAGCACCGGCCTTCAGAGGGAGCGCCCTCGAGGCCATCGTGCCAAGGCCTGGAACTTAACCACAGAAATAAAAAGCACCCAGCGGAGAATGACATTTCTGGGATGATTCTGTTTTAGTTTTATGGCAGTTTATCTGAAGTGGAAAGAAAAAGAGCAAACTAGTTTTTTTGTGTGTGATCTTAAGTAAATATTTGCAGGTCATCGTCGCTGAAACAGCTTAGGTGACACGGTGTCTCCTGGCCGCTGCTCCTAGGTCAGGCTCAGGCCGGTGACAGCTGCAGGGTCTCCGGGGCTCGGCCGGCCACCCTCCTTCGCGGGGCGGTGACTGCGCCTGTCTGAGGGGCTTGGTCGGCTGGTTTGGCTTTGGGAGCCTGTGGCGTCCGGAAACGTTCGCTCTGCTTTCTGCTTAGCCGTTTTTGTGACGCGGGAGGAAGCTGGAGTAGCTTTGTTCCCTGCAACCTAAGTCTAGTCTCTCTCCATTCTCTCCTGGTAAGTAGGAAGTTTCCTATGTGTCTTGTCTTAGAATTATTGCTTAAAACTTAAACTTAAGATTTGATCTTGTTTTTCTTCTGTGGCATTGCAGTCTGAACCGTGGTCTAGCTGTTGAGCTGTTGCTAATTAGGTCCTGGTGTGGAAGGAGCCCCAGCCCGCGCGGGTTAGGGTCGGCCGGCCGCCATCTGTGCTTCCCCCACTCCACATGCACACGCACTCACATGCACACACTCGTACACACGCACACACATGCATGTACATTTACACACACGTGCATACGTATACACATGCACATGTGTGCACATACCCACACATGACCTGGGCTCTGCTGGAAGCAGCTGGCACTGTCCGTCCACATGCGGCTGCCAGGGCGGGCCTCGCGGTGGGGCGTCCTTGCGTTGCTGAGAAGGGCCACGGCAGAGGCAGGAGGGCTGTGGCCGCCGCTGCGGCCCTGTGCTCTGCTGCGTCTCCGCCGTCTTCCCGTTTACGCGCTGCCACTCTCCATCCCAGCACCTCTAGGGGACCGGCCGGCTGGCAGTTTGTAGCCCTGGGGCCTGCAGTGCTCGCACTGTGGGAAGGGGCAGGTCCCAGCTCCCTGTGCGTCCCTGCCGGGCGCCACGTAGTGGGCGCCACGTAGTGGGCTCACAGGAGACGTTCTCTCTCCCTGCCCCCTCCTCTCTCCCTCCCCCTCCCTCTCTCCCACACACACACCATTACTAGTCAAACTGCTGACTCTCTGAGTTTCCCACCACTGCGCTCCCTACTCAGGACCCCGGCAACCACGCTGCACTCAGTCCTCTCGTGTCCTTCCTCCCCTCTGGCCTGGGACCGCCTGTCCCAGATTGCACGACCTTGGCAGTTGGAGCAGTCCTGCCGTGTGGTTTGTGGACCGCCCCCCAGACTGGGTCTTTCTGGTGTTTTCTTGGGATTAGACTGGGCAGGGGTTTGGGAAGACCCCAGAGCGGCGAGGGGCCCTTCTGGTCTCACGTGAGGGCACCCGGAACTGCATGGCTCTGGTCTCCTGGCTGAGCTGTGTCTGCCAGGCGCCTCCTGCCGAGTCCCCGCTTCCCACCTTCTGTCCTCTGGACGCTGGTCACTGTGTCCAGCCACCTCCAGGGGAGGGGACCCCGTGCCGCCTCCTGGGGGTCTGCAGGTACGATTTGGAATTGCTCTGTAAGGAAGACTGTCTCCTGCCCCATGGGTTTGTACACCAGTCACTGATTTGTGTCCCTACGGACGCGGGCACTTTGATTTTATACTCTGGGCGAGAGTCCAGGGGAATCTTCACCAGCCTGTGGCTCAGCTCGTCCCAGCTGTGGCCACTGGTGGTCTTCTCAGGGGGTTTCCTTGTCCCTTTGCTGCGCCTCTGTCCTTTCATGGACACCTCCCTGTCCTCTGGTGCCACAGGACGCTGCAGGCTCGTCTCGTGGTTCCTGCCGCAGCCCTGGAGTCAGCCGTCTCTCCAGGGGTGCTGGCGCCGTGTGTTGGGGCTGGTGTTGGAGACCCCAGTCTGGGTGCTGGGGGTGCCGTTCCTACGGGGTGGCGCCGCCTCTAGCCCTCTTGGTGGACAGCGCCAGGTGGCGTACGAACTGCCCTGTTAACGCACACGTGACTGTTTCTCTGTGTGTCCCCACACGTGTGCCGTGGTGAACGTGGTCCACACCGAAATCTCGCTCTAACCAGCACGCCGCATCCTCGCCTGCCCCGGCTTATCCGAGCACCCCCCGTCCTCGCCGTGCTTGGGAGACCCCAGTGCCCCTGCCAAGAAGCTCAGAATTGTTCACCCAGACCGCAGCTGGAGCCCGGTGTTCGTGTGCTGTTCCTCTGCCCTTGTCCTCGCACTTTCCATGGGAACTGTCCCCGGAGCTGCCCAGCCGGCTCCCCCAGCACTCGGCGTGGCTGTGAAACACGTCTGCGTCAGAGTCGTCCTCACGGTCCGCATTCCGTCCTCACCGCCTAGTTGGGTTTTTTTGATAGTTGATTCATGTTTAAATGATTAAAGTTCATTTTTGTGTGATGTGCAATGCTGAGGGTTTAGACACTGCACAGAGTCATCCGTGACCCCGGCACGGTGCGGAACAATTGGAGCCCTGAGTTTGCCGGTGTGTGGGCGACTTTCCCTCCACCAGCCCCGCACGCTCGCATCCGTCCTCCGCCCCTGTGGTTTTGCCCTTCCCAGCGCCTCACGTGAGTGGAATCATGCATGTGCTTTCTGGGTCTGGGCTCTTGCTTAGCAAAGTGCATGTAAGATCCATCCTCGTTGCTGACTGAGTCGCTAGCTCCTGCGTTTTTATCTCCGAATATTATTCCGTCGTGTTAACGTGAACGCGCCGCAGTTTGTTTATCTGTCTCCACCTTGAAGGGCACCTTGCTTGTTTCTCGGTTTTAGTGGTTACGAGCGAAGCCGCTGTAAACATTCCCACGCAGGTTTGCGTGTTCGTTCAGGTGAACGCTGAGCGCCCCATGGCTGGTCGTACGGTGGCGCCCTGCTACCCGCACGGGATGCCGCCACACAGACGGTGCAGTGGCTGCGTCGTTGTGCGTTCCCACCAGCAACAAGTGGCCGTTCCTGTTGCTCAGAATCCTCCGGAACATTTGGTATCGTTAATTTTTAAAAATCTGGCCATTGGGACAAGTGTGTGGTGACGTCACATTGTGGTTTAATCGGCATCTCCCAGCGATGGGGGCGTTGAGCGTCGTTTCACGTGCGTGTGTGTGCGTGTGCACGTGTGTGCATGTGTGTGCACGTATGTGTGTGTCTGCCGTCTGCACGTCGCTCACGTGAAACAACTTACGTGCCTGCTCAGAGCTTCGGCTTCTGTGTTCTTCCCGCCTTTAAAGCCGGGTTGCTCGCTTTCCTGTTGAGGTTGAGTCGCTTGCACGTTCTAGACGCAAGTCCTTTCTCAGAGGTGCGACTCGTGGGTGCCTCTCCCCGTCTGCGGCTGCTCTCGTCGTTCTCTTAAAAGCATCTTCTGCAGACCAGAAGTTTTCCGTTCTGACAAAGTCCAGTTTGCTAGTTTCTTATGTCACGGGCCATACTTTTGGTGTTGTCTAAAGACTCGTTGCCAAACCCAAGCCACGCAGATGCTCTTCCACAAGTTTATACGTTTCTGTATCGCACGCAGGTCTGTGGCGCTTTCTGAGTGAATTTCCATGTAGGGTGCTCGCAGAGGTTTGTCTGTGCGAGTGGACGTCCGTTTGTCCCGTTTACTGCACCCGCGTGGGGCTGTGTCTGGGCTCTCCGTTCTGCTCCATCGGCTTACGTGGCCGTCCTTTTCCAGTGCCACACTGTCCCGGTCTGCTCACAGCAAGTCTTTTTGTTTGTTTGTTTTGAGACAGGGTTTGGCTCTGTCACCCAGGCTGGAGTGCCATGGCGTCATCACAGCTCACAGCAGCCTCAAACTCCTGGGCTCAAGGGATTCTCCTGCCTCAGCCTCCTGAGTAGCTGGGACTACAGGCACCACCACGCCTGGCTAATTTTTGTATTTTTTGTAGAGACGGGGTCTCACTATATTGCCCAGGCTGGTCTCAAGTGATCTTCCGGCCTTGGCCGCCCAAAGTGCTGGGACGACAGGCAAGACCCACAGCACCCAGCCTTTATAGCAAGCCTTGAATTTGGGTAACGTGAGCCTTCCAACTTTGTTCTTCTTTCAGAATTACTTTAGCCATCCCAGTTCCGTTGTCTTTCACATACATTTTAGAATCAGAAAATCCTGCTGGATATTTTGGTTCAGATTGTGTTGAACTTGTGGATCAAAGTAGGGAGAATTGATTCCTTAATGATTTTGACTCTTCCAGTCCGTGAACGTGGTCTCTGCACGTAGTTAGATCCGTGGTCTTCTCTCCGGTGCTTCGCGGGTGTCCACGTGCGGGTTCTGTCCTGCTCCGTGAGCTCTGTCTTTCTGTGCTCGGGGTGGCTGTTGTCATCCCTCATCGTTGTGCGGCCTCCTCCGCCCTCCCTCCTTGCCGCCGAGTCCATTTGTGCAGCGGTGACGTCGCCCCCAGCTTGCTCTGGTTTTGCGTTTTCGGGGTCCGTCTTTGTTACTTTAACCTACTTTTTTGTCCTTCACGGCTACACACGGGAGTGTGGTTCCGCGTCTCCGTGTCCGCACTGACGCCCGGAGCACGCGGGAGCACTCGCGGGGTGGGGACCTGGGCAGTGACCGCAGAAGCTGTGGCTGGGTGGAGGGTGATCATGGCTCTCGTGTGAGCGACATGCCTCGAGCCCTGTGGCGTGTTTGGGGGCAGCGCTCTCAGCCGACCCGTGGTTCTCAGGACGTGTTTCGTGGCGGCAGATGCGGAGAGCGGTCTGGACGGCCAGCTCACCCCTCATGTGCGAGCAGGCACGTGTGCTATGTGAATGCCGTCTAATTTGTTTATACACACGTGTAGGTGGAGAAGACACACATGTGCGTATACACACACACATAGACAACGCGTCTTTCCCAGGTTGGGTTTTCCAGCATTTCCCCCGAGACTTCAAGAAGGTGCTGACTGGAGCCGGAGCTTGGACTCTGCCCCCTCTTCCCGCCAGCCACGCCCCGCGCGTCTCACCGGTGTCCACAGACGGCTTGTCCTGCTCACCGTCCGTTGTCCTCCTTCTCTTCCAGGCGTGGCCTTCTGGGTGGCTTTCCGGCAGAACAAGCAACTGATTGGCGACCGGGGCCTGCTGCCCTGCAAAGCGTACCTGGCCAGAGTCCAGCGCCACTTCCAGGGCAGGCGCGGCTGGGAGGCCCTGAGCTCTGCTCCGACCGTCCTCTGGCTGCTGGACTGGTCAAACATGAACTTCAACCTGGACCTCCTGGCACTGCTGGGGCTGGGCATCTCCTCGTTCGTCCTGATAACCGGCTGCGCCAACATGGTCCTCATGGCCGCTCTCTGGGTGCTCTACCTGTCCCTGGTCAACGTGGGGCAGGTCTGGTAAGTGGGCAGGAGCGAGGTGCCCGCAGCGCAGAGCTGCTGCCACCCGGCGTTCTGGGGACGCTCCCTGCGAATCGCACTCCCAGGTCTCCTGGCGGGTGCGGAGCCCGAACACGCTTTCGTCTTGCATTAATTCAGGGGAACGTCATCATTTCACAAGGCCATGGTAGAGGCTGCTGGTGGCCCATCAGCCAAACTGCAGGAGCCGTTATGTTGGGGAACAAGACCGTGGTTCGTCCCCACTGGAGACGCCCCGCGGCCAGCCTGGGGGAGGCAGAGGCAGGGGTGGGCTTTGGGAGCACTCTGGGGGGCTGGATTTTGAGGCTGGCCCTATTACTCCCCCCTTCCTCATTCAAGAGGAACCACCACCAGTCCCAGGCGCAGTGTTGGGGTCACAGGTCAGACCTACCCCTGGTAGGAGGAGTGGACCTTATGGCCGTGGAGACCAGAGGTAGACGTGGGGCGGCCGTCCGTGTGGAGTGTGGGAGGTGGAGACTTCCAGGCCTCTCTCAGTGACCCGTGTGGGCTGTTTGTCCTCCCGGGGAGGCGTGTCGTCCTGACTCTCTGCAGTGCCGGCCTAGGGCGAGCGGCTCCCTCGGCCGTGGATCGGGACGTGGCGCTTCCTGAGCGTGGACTTCGAACGCAGCGCCGGTGCTCGGGCACTTGGCACCGAGCTTCTCAGCGTGGCCCTTGCTGGCCCAGCCGACGGCTCCAGGCTGGGAGCCGCCGTCTGCGGGCCCACCTCGGTCGCGCGTCCCGCCCTCTGCAGCCGTCTGAGAGGCTTTGTCCCACCCGGGGCCCTGCTTGCTGGTGGGACGCTGGGTTTGCGCAGGCCCATGGGGGCTGGGCTTGGGGGGCCACGTGTGTGTGACCCTGGGTAGCAGGCGTGAAAGGGGCCGCGGGACTGTAGACTGGGCGCTGCGGGCCTGAGGCCGCCACTGTCCCGGGCCGTGCCTGTCTGCTCCCGCACAAGCAGGCGCGCCGTGCCTGGCGGAGCTCTGAGGTTCAGGGAAGGCGCTCAGGAGCGCTCCAGCTCCGTTCCGTCGTGGCGTGAGCTGTGCCACACAGGAGACTGAGCTGCGTGTCGTCGCAGGGAGCAGCGAGGGGCTGTTGCAGCCATTCACTCGACCACAGGCCTGTCTTCTATGAGCCGTTTGTAAAACGTGGGTCCCTGAGACCAAAAACACATCGTGGTTGAACACCATGGCGTTCAGTCCATACGGGACTGTGCTGGTTTCCTAGAGAGGGATGAACCGCGAGGGTGGAGATAGGAGCTGTTGCGCAGCCACTGTTGGTTGCTGCGTGGCGAGGAGGCCGTCGTGCACGCCCCAGCCGTCTGGTTGCCGTGGGGGCCCACGTGCGCTCACCGTGCTGGCCGAGCCGCTGCGGTGGGGGAAGCCTCCTCCGCACCCCTCCCCCGTGGTGCGCAGGGGCTGCCGTCGCCTCGGGCCCTGGCGTCCGCGCTCCCCCAGTCTCCTGGGGCAGTGAAAGGGGAAGTTTACAGCACGGGGGACTCTGGCTGCGTTCTCCTGCGACTCTCGGAGGCTGCTGGTTTTTTGAGACGTGGTGGTTTTAGTCCAAACCAGAGGAGGAGAGTTGGAGGTGCCCCAGCCCAGCGACACCGGTGGGAGTCACAGCAGGTGAGCGCGCCCAGCCGTGGTGCACGCGGGCGGCTCCCAGCCCGACGCGAGCCTCAGACCCCACATCGCTCCACTCAGCAACCGGGAGAAACTGCACGGACTCCGAGTCTGACTTTGCAAAGTAGTTCTGTCGTGTCCGGGACGTGCGGATCGGGAAAGATTAACCCCGTTTGAGGTTTTGAAGACCAGCTGAGCACTCAGGGCGAGAAGGTCGTCTTGTATTTCTTCATGGAAAAGATACTCTGTCCCCCCTTGGACGTGTTAAAAGACGTGACTCAAATTCATTCAAGCTCCCTAAAGCCAAATGAAATGGAAGGACGTTTTCTCAAAAACGATGCCCGAGTTGTTGAGGTGAAACGTGCAAGAAGAGGCTCTCGGTGGAGACAGGCGGCTGACCCGCCCTTGGTGCGGGAGGTCTGTGCTCGCGGCGCCGGGCCCTGCCTGGGGGTCCAGAGGTGTGTGGCCGTGGTGCCGGGACACACACGCCACGTGCCCGGGTGAGGTGCTTGACTGGACGCAGGCCGTGCACGCAGACGGTGCTCTCAGCTCAGCCTGGAGCCTGGTTTCCCTGGCGGACGGCAGTTTTCGGGGTGTTCAAGCTTGAGGAAAGGTCACCTTGACAACACCCCAGACGGCGACGACCTGCCAAGCAGAAAAGGCTTTCTCCCTCCTGCTACCCCAAATTCAAAGTTAAAGTCAGACACAGTCTCTCGCTTACATCCGTGTATTTTAAGTTGAGAGAAGAGAACCTGTGTTTGGGGCTGAGATGCTCAGACGGGGCGCCGATGCCGGAGCGCGTCCACGCGGGGGCAGCAGAGGGAGGGTCGCGCCCACCCGTCCAGCTCAGCACCTTCCACTCGGCGCCGCACAGGTTCTTGGAGGCCCATCAGTGCTGTGCCCGGGAACCGGCTGCCTCTTCGGAGGCCTGTCGGCCGCGTAGGTGGCCGCCTGTCGGCTTCTCCCGACTCAGACAGAGGCCGAGAGGAAGTCCCAGCGTCGGAGTCACTGTCGTCCACAGACGTTGGGAATCTCCCGCTTCTGCTGAGGGCTCCAAGGCACGGGGGCCTCAGCCTGGTGGTGGGTGTTGGGGACCCGGCTGCCGCCCCAGGCCCCGTCCCCGTGGTCGGGTGTGACTGGACGAGCCTTGGAGTGATGACGTTCAAGGACAGGAGCGGTGGCACGGGTCTCAGGGGCTGTCTCTGAGGGCGTGTGGCTAGGGGCAGTCAGGGCCATTCTGGGTCCCCTTTCTTAAATAGAGAAGGTCTTTGTGAGAGACAGAGAATTTTGTGCTTTTTCCGTATTGTCAAAACCCATATGACCTACCTGTCCCGGGACATCCAGTAATGCCACATGCTGGCCCCAGGCTGCTCTGTGGTCGGTCAGTGGTCTTGCCTGTCAGTGGTCCTGTCAGTGGTTGGTCAGTGGTCCTGTCCATGGTGGGTCAGTGGTCAGTCAGTGGTCGGTCAGTGGTGGTCAGTGGTCCTGTCAGTGATCAGTCAGTGGTCCTGTCCGTAGTCAGTCAGTGGCTGGTCAGTGGTCAGTCAACAGTGGCAGGTCAGTGGTCAGTCAGTGGTCCTGTCAGTGGTCGGTCAGTGGTCCTGTCCGTGGTCCTATCAGTGGTCAGTCAGTGGCAGGTCAGTGGTCTGGTCACTCTTGTGCCTGTCACCACAGGGCTCTTTCCAGGCCAGGTGGCTCGGCTGAGCCTGCTCTGGCTCCCGCACCCCCAGCCTGGTTCTCGTGAGGGGCTGGCAGCTGCGGGGTCCCAGGCAGCTCTTGTGGGTGTCAGGGAGGGAGACAGGAGCAAACTGGCCTGGTCCCCAGGGGTCAGAACCAGGACTCTGTCCAAACACGCCCCCTTAGACTGGCCAGAGGACCCTGTGGGATGAGACTGGAGTGTCATCGAGGACACCAGTGAATTCGTGACGTGCTGAGAACTTGGCTTTATCTGTCTCGCGGGGAACTCCCGTTTCCCAGATGTCGCATTGAGCGGAGGCTGATGACGCCACAACCTGGCCTTGGTGGCACAGCACAGTGCCCCGAGGTTTGTGCAGGGGACAGGAGCTGGCACACAGGGCGCCTGCAGGTGAGTATGACCCCCCGCCATGTGGCTGTGCTGGCCTCGAGGCCGGTATTCCTCCCAGGTGGCAGCACACTGGGTCAGAAGGGTGTCATTGACTGTCACCCTCTTACAGGGCAGGGCGGGAAGCTGCTGCCCACGGCCGGCTCTGCCCCACGGCCTCTCTGTGGCCAAGGCACACGCGTGCAGTCAGGACGGGCTCCGGCGTGTGCTGGGATCGGTGTTCGCCGCTGGCTGGTGTGCAGGGAGGGGGCTTGTTCCTGCGGACCTGCCCGTGCACAGCCGCCGTGGCTGTTGGTGGTTTGCCAGGGAGCCTCTTCCCCACGTGGTGCTGGGCACCCGCTGCCCACACGACTCACCCGTAGGACGTTGCCCCTGCCCGTCCAGCGGGGCGTGCTGTCGGCTTTCTCCACGCAAGCCGCTTCCCCCTCGCATCCAGAGCTTTCTGGGAGGAGTCTGTGCAGCCACGCGCAGGCCCGGGGGCCCCGCCTCCCTGGGGGGTGAGGACGCTTCTGCGGGGAGCTGTGTCCCCGGTCCCCCATCACTGTTGATCTGATCACTGTGCGTGTCAGCGCGGACTCAGATGTGTTCTAGCACTTTGGGTGTCTGTCTTGGTCTAGGAGTTTAAATGTCTTGGGGAGCGCCGGCGTGCGAGGCAGGCGGAGCCGGTGTCTAGTGGCCGTCACCGCACACGGATGTAAATGGCTCTAAAGAGGGCCTGACTCTGATTGGAGCTGGCCTCTCCACAGCGGGCCTCGCGCGCGGAGAGTCGGAGCCCTCGGAACCGCTCCCGTCTCTCCAGTTGGCGTCGACTTGGGCAGACGTCGTGTTTCCGATCCTTTATCTGCGCTTTACTTGGCAGCGGCCCTGAGAGTCTCTCTGCTGCTGTCCCGGACGGCTGCACAGCACCCTTTTCTCTTTCCCAACCCCGACAGGAAGAAAAGATTATCTCTAGAAACTTGGGCGGAAGTCGGGGGGTCTCAGGGGTCCTCCCTCCTGCGGGGGAGCTGCCGTTGGCACTTCCTTCCTAGACAGGAGGGACGGTGGCTCCGCTTCAAAGAGTGCCGCAGCAGAGGCCGGCGCTGCAGGGGCGTTCAGCCCGTGCCAGGTGGGCTTGGGCTCCCGGCTCCGTTTTTGACCAACGAGGAAACAAAAGTTGTTCTGGTGCCAGGACTTGAACGCAGTGAGGTTCCGTACATTTCCCCACCTGCCCTGCGCGGGTCTGTAGGTCCGCCTCGGTGGGCCTGGGGCTGTGCCCCTCTCCTGGGTGGGCCGCATCCCTGTCTTTGGCGCACTTTAGGGATTCGAAGGGCAGAGATGTGTTCGATGTGCAAGCCACCTGAGCTGTCTGTTCACAAGGTCCACGGACTCTGGCGGGAGCGGTCGCTGCAGAGCAGGTGCTCCAGGGCCTGTCCCCGGCCTCTCCTGCGTCAGCAGGGCCACAATCGGGTCCTGCTTCTTAACTGCCGTGAACTGGGCGTTGGTGCCATTTGCCAGACGCCTTAGTCTGAGGCACCTACTGCTGCCCGAGCTCAGCGTCAGCGCGGAGGCAGCGGGTGGCCGGCGTGGACGGCTGGGTGTCAGAACCTGCGGCACGTCACAGAACTTCACAATATATGCAGCAAAAATCGACAGAACTAAAGGAAGAAATGCGCAAATTCACAGTTACGGTTGGAGGTTCAGTGCGATTCTGTCAGTAACTGAAAGAACAGCTGAACCAACCCCTGTGAGGGTCAGACGGTCCCAACGGCGCCTCCGGCCACTCTGCGCGGTCGATAAATCTCTTCACCCCGAACACGTCGGGGTGTGTTTCCTGAGAATGTTCTTTTACGTTCCTACGGAATCAACCTCTGTACGTTCCACGTGGATCCACCCGTGACCTCATCTCCTGCTCGTTTGCCGGTTTTGTTACCTGACCTGAGAACGATCTCTGCGACGTTTACTTTCCGGTCTAGGGTCAGCGTCGGGCTTAGTCGTCACGTCTCGTCCGTGCCCCTCGCTCTGCGACATCCGCCTTTTACAACGGTTCTAAAATCACGCGTCGCTTTGAACCACACAGGGCTTCTCGTGGGTTTGTCTGCGTTTCCTGTGGTCGCATGTTCCTGGCGGGACGCCGAGAGTGAGCGCCTGCCGGGGCACCCTGCCCGTCCTCAGGTGTGGCGCCGGCTCCCCGGGAGGTGAATCCGTGCTTCGGGGTGGTCACCTGGGAGTGGAGCCGTGTCCAGACCACTGCCCACCACCCTGTGGGAGACGCACAGCTGACGTTCTGTGGCCGCACGATGGCCACTCGCTGGGGCTTCAAACAATAGAACTCTATTCTCTCGGTTCTTGGGGCCAGACGCGCGAGGTCAGGGTGTCAGCAGGGCCGCGTCTGCTCCCAGTCTACAAGGAGGAGCCTCCCGTGTCTCCCAGCTCCTGGGGCCCTGGCGGGCCTTGGCCGGTGGCCGCACTGGTCCGCTCTCTGCCTCTGGCCGTGTGAGCTCCTCTCCTGCCTGTCCCGTGTTTCCTGTGCCTTCTGATGCAGACATGCGTGGTTGGATGATCTCGTCCCAAGAGCCTTAATTTAGTGACCTCTGCAGAGACCCCTGGTCCAGATAAGCCGTGGGTTCGGGAGTGCGGCACCGACACGCCCGCCTGGGCCCCCGATCGCCCGCAGCCCGGTTTCTCCCGCACAGAGAGGGGCCCCGCTGCAGGGCTGTTTCCTGCTCTGTGTGTTTCACTTAATTCTTAAGTTGTGTTTATTACAATATTTCATAACAGTATTTGAAATAACCACCTAAACGTTTTTTAACTTCATGTCAGATTATGACTATCTTCCCGTGTCACCGCTGTTCCGCGGCAGCGTCTGGTCGCACCTCCTGCTTTCCTCGCTGCCAACGCAGGTGGAGACGAATGTGTCCCGCGTCTGAGTCGCTGCTGAGAAAGCAGGTGTTGGCGCCGGCGCCCTGCGACGCGTGTGCTTTTTATTCACTAAACAGGGTCACGCCAGCCGCAGCACCACACACGTCTGCCGTCTTGACTCGGGTCGTTCGCTGACGTGTGCGGTGGCTGCGGGTACCTGTCACATGCCTGTCACACGCGCTCGCTGTGGTGACCAAGCTCCGCCCACGGGCGTTTCCTTCGTGTCTGTTTTTTACCACTGGAAGTGATGCTGCGTCAGACAGCTCTGTGGCTCACGACCTTTTGCAGATCCGTGACCTACCGCGTGGGCTGCGAGGTCAGAGTGCGTCGCCAGGGCGGCACCGCGGGCGGCCGCGTGCAGTGGTCGGGCCTTGCCGCGTCCTTTTGCTTACGCAGGATATCACGTTCCCAAAGAGAGTCTCTCAGAGTTTGACAAGTGAAAAATATGATTTAAACACATTTCCCTGACAGTGTTTCCTGGTTGGTTTTTGCTGTTTCTGTTTCTCTTGGGATTTGCATTCGGGCCTTGGCCGCGTTCCCCAGGGGCGAGCGTTTTCTGCTCCTCATCTCTAAGAGGCCTCGACATGTCGCACCTGTCCGGCCCTCTGACCCTCAGCACGATGTGTTTCACGTGGAAAACGCGTGTGCAGGTCTAACCCGTGTGCCCCGTCGTGTGTGTGATGTCATCATTTGCCGCCCGAGGCTCCTTCGTGGAGTCAAATCTGTCAGTCCCGTTCCTTTCCGACTGGTGCTGGGTGGAAACACCCACCGCACTTGGTCCTTGTACTTCATGGGTCTTCGACCATGTCTTAAATTGCTCACTTTTTCCGTGAACGGAACACGTGGTCTGCAGGCAGCTCTCGGATGGCGTGAGAGCCTGTCTGCGCCCGTCTGCGCCGCGTTGCTCCCAGCGCCATCCGCGTGTGGAGCCGATGCCTCCTGACGCCCACGGGGATTCGCGGGCTCCTTCACGACGGCAGTACGTGGTGACGGTGTTCCCGAAGGCCGCTCTTGTCATTAGCGTTTTGCTTTCCGTGTTGTGTGAACACAGTGTTAGGGTGGCTGAGGGTTAACGGAGTGACCCAGCCCCTCCCTGCCGACCCCGCCAGCCACTGTCCAGCTCTTCCCCTGCGCCAGGCAGGCTGGGCCGCGGTGGGCTTGCTGTCGCACGTGGTCCCCATCCTGGCGACTGGGTGGGAGGCACGGGGGCCTGCTGGGCACGCCCCGCCCCCTCCCGGGCCGTCTCCACGAAGGCCACTGCTGTAGCGCCTGTGGCGTCTTCCTGAGCTTCTGCGAACAAATCCAGGTATGGGCCGTCACCACATGGCAAGGACTCCGCCGTGGTGGTGTCAGCTGCACGTCAGGAGTGCGGGTGTGGGTTAGCAGAGCAGTGTGCTGATTCTCCACTGAGCACTTCCTGGGTGGGCTTCCGGGAAGTTCTCTGTGCCGGGCAAGAAAGTGGAAGAATTCTTGTACGTTTACAGCCAGACGGCCCATGCTGGGGGCAAATCTGACACATGTTTACACACGAAGCCTTTTTACAGACGAGAAGTCGCTGAAACCAGTGCCCTTCCCCATCAGAGGCTCCGACCAGAACGGGGCCTCGTGGAAAAGCTGCCGGTGGGACGGGGCTGCAGCAGGACGGGCCTGTGCCGGGGTCTTCCTGCTTCCTCAGCCCGCAGACCGAGGGACCCTCCGTCCGCCTGGGGCCTCGCGGGGGAGCAGGACCCTCTTTAGCAGACAGACGGGGCGCGCAACACGCAGCAGGTGCGGTAAAGTTGACGTCGCCCAGAGCAAAGAAGGACTTGAGTTTCTTTAGAGAATAAAAGAACGGAATAACCCCCAGGATAACGCCAAGTCGGCATCTTCCAAAATAAGTGGCAGCTGTTGAAAGTATAATGAGACCGTAAAAGCCACGAAGACCTTCTCGTGTTTCGTGAATTAGCTGAAACAGCCTGGCGTCTGAATCTCCCGCACCGGCAGCCTTGCCGCTCAGCTTCCGACCAGGCGAAGCCACGAAGGTCCCACTTCCCGGCATCCGCAGCGTGGCGCGTGGGGGGCGCGGGGGCAGTGTCTGGGGACGCCCTGGACTCGGGCCGCGCGAGCTCTGGCGGCCCTGGCCCTCCTGGCGCGTCCAGTCTGGTCCGATGCAAACGCAGAACTTTTCCTCACGGGTTTTGACATCAGCCGCTTTCCCGTTTGCTGTTCCTCAGGGTTACCCGTTGGGAGAGGTTGTGGGGTGAACTGACTCCTGGCATCAGCCGGCGAGCGCGGCGGTGGTGAAAGGTTTTCCTCGTGGAGACCGAGAGGCGCGTCCATGGGGGCCGCCTCCCTCCCAGCTCCCCTCCTCTGGCGTGGGGACACGCCCCGCGTCGTGCTGCTGTACCTACGCGGTGTGGTCCTGCCGGGGGAGGGCGACCGACGAGGACACCAGAACCATGGCATCCGCAGCTGGGGAGGAGCCAACACTCGTCCCCCTCCCTCCTCCCCCCACAGCGCCACAGATGCATTCAGAGTGGGGTGGGCGCCTGGGGCGCGTCAGAGCCCCGCCCTGCCGGCTGCGCCCGTCCTGCCTTCCGTCCGGCCCACTCCCCACCAGGTGCAGTGCACACCAAACATCCAGGCTTGGGAGGGGCCAGTCAGTGGTTTCGTGTGTTCACTGGGTTCTACGGCCCTCACTGTTGCTCAGTCTAGAACGTTCTGCTCACCCCACTTCAGCCCCCTCCCCCTCCCCCTGGCAGCTGCTGGCCCACAGCCCGTCCCTCGGGGCTGGCCTGTTCCGGGCCTTTCCTGAAACGGAGTTGCATCCGCGGGGCCTTCTGTGTCTGGCTCAGCTCACGGAGCTCCGTGTTTCGGGGTTCGCCACGCCGGGGCGTGTCCGCGCCTTGTCCCTTTAGTGCCGAGAACTGGGCCCGATGCTGGCCGAGGCGGCCGGGCAGGTGTTCGTCCTGCACCCAGGGTGGGCTTGGACGTTGGTGGGGCCGCGTGTGACCCCAGCCGCTGGGTGTTCCCGGACGTGGTCGGATCCAAACGCGGGCGACTCGCTGTTGCTGCGTCTTCGCTCCCTGGGGTGTGGGGGGCTCCTGGGCCCAGCGCTCGGCCGGCGGGTTCTCGCGTCAGCTGCCCTGACCCCACGCTGTCCCGGGGGCCCACGGTGGGGTGGGGGCTTCACATGTCAGGGAAACACAGTGGTTTAACTTATCATAAGTCTTTGGTCGAAGCAAGCCAAAATTTTAATACATTTTTCTTTTTTTGTTTTTCAGGTATTCTTTTGGTAAGTGAAAGCCGCTGGCCCGCGTGTCGGTAGGTGTCTGCGCGCATCTTCCCCCGCTGTTCTCCCCGCTCGGGCCTCCGCCGCCAGCGTCCCAGTGCGCTGAGCCCTGGGCTCAGCTCTGCGTCCCGCAAGCCGGCTCCGCCCAGAGAGCGGCCAGTGCCGAGGTGGAAACTCACAAGTGCCTTGGGCAGCTGCTTTGTCCGATCAGGGGACCCCAACGGTGCCACCCCCACCCCTTCCCTGGGGTGGAGCCCCAGCTGTCCGTCCCCCAGCACACGTGAGCCTTGCGGCCCGTTCGCACAGGTGCTGGTGCGGCCCACGGGCAGTGTGGTTTGTGCTTCGTCGGATGGGGGAGGCTTCAGGCCGTCCAGCCCAGGCAAGGAGAGAGCTGGCGGAGGGCGGGAGGACGGTGGGCGTGAGGACGGTGGGTGTGCACCAGGTCGGGCCAAGGCCTCTGGGAGGTCCTAGGACACAGGGTGGGCCTGTGACTCGACCGACTGCGGGGTCCTTGGGAAGCGGGATGCCCTCCTCCCGCGACTTGAGGGAGGGAGGAGGAAGAGGCAGGTTTCCGTCTGTAAGGGCCTTACAGGTGCGTGAGCCTCGCGGACCAGCCCACCTGGGCTTTTCCTCCGTTCTGGGGGTGGGGGAGGGGCGTCTCGTCCGGGCCCCCCACGGCTTCAGGCCACAGAACCGTGTTCTTGTGTTACGGGCCACTCTCTCCGTGTTTTGTTCCTTGTATATTTTCATTCCTAAGTATTGAGGGCCTGTGGTGTCAGAAATTTGGATCTACTAAAGAAATGAACATCAGAATGTGCTAAAATGTAAATTTAAAAAGTTTCCTGATTTTTAATCACCTTAAAAGGCAGGTAACTGTCTGAAGCCACAATGATCAGCTGTCTCAGGCCTGGTGCCATCTGGGTGCGCCGGCCGGGCCGGCTCCAGGGACCGACAGGATGTGGGGCTCTGGGACGTCCTGTGTGCGAGGAAGGGTTATTTCAGGGGCTCCTTCTCCATTTGCAGGTTGACATGACCTGCTCATAACCAGCTAGTCACAGGACCTGTTAGTGGCACAAAGTCGCGTCAAAGGAAAGGAACTCGGGAGAGTTTAGAAGGGAGGAGAGACGTCAGAAGGTGCCGCGCATCCTGCGCAAGGCCCGGGCCTCCTCGTGGGGTGAATAAAATTTGTGCGATACCAAAATTCCTCTCCAACGGTTGGATCAGCAAACCTTCTTTCCTAGTAAGCTCTACTTGCTTATCTGCAGTCGCAGCAGCATCACTTCTTTCCAGTGGCTTCGCGCAATGAGAGTGTCGGGCCCTGGCTCCCGGGCGCGGCGGGGGAGGCCCCTGCTCTTGGATGAAGCGAATTCTGGGCAGCAAACCACATGCGCATGTTGGCGCCACTCGGGGCTGCGCGAGGGCAGGTGGCGGAGTCATCGCCGGGGGTGGGGGCAGGGGGCATCGGGGAGCTGGGCTGTCTGGCACCCGAAACCCCCACCCTCCGCTCCCTCGTCAGGGGTGGGGCACCGGCCGCGGGCAGTGGACGCCAGGCGGGCGACGCTGGAGCTGCCCTCCCACGCCCCAGCCACCGGCAAAGCGAAAGCGACTCGAGGTCCCCGCAGCGGTGGCGCGTGAGCCGTTAGGGCCGGGCAGGAGCCGGGCTGGAGCAGAAGCGAATCTGCCTTCCGTGTTTGCTTCTGTTGGTGCTACCTGGGGTCTTCGCAAACGTCACTGCTGCTTTGGTCGCAGTGATAATTGCGTGATAATTTGGTGATAATTTTAGGGACTTTGAAGCAAATTGTTGACTCAATACATTTTCCTCACGAGAGCCCCCGCGGGGGACTGGATCTCGCGCTGTCTTCGCTCGTGCAGCGCAGCACGCTGTTCCGAATATCGCGTGGGAATTAGACCCCGAGGTGTAGCCGCTCCCTCCCCACCCTGAGCGGCGCAGGTCCTGGGACTGTCGTCTCCGTCCCTCGTCTTGGAGAGCGGGAAGCAGCCAGGTACTGAGGCGGGCCGGAGCCAGGGTCGGAAAGCCCTGGGAAGTCAGACGCCTGCTCGACCCGCGGGTTTCCTTCCTCTGGCCTCGCTGCGGGTCGCCCAGGTTTTCACGGAGAGCACGCCGTCTCCCCCTGGTTCTGTCTTTATGCTCACGTGATTAACGATGACACCTACTGTGTCTTCATTCCGCGAAGCAGCTTTAATGAGAACGTGGCAGCCGCGTAGCTCGCGCTGAGATGGTGCAGCCCGCGCCCGCGGGAGGCTCGTCCCCAGCAGCAGCCTCGCGGCCCCGTGTTTCTGAAGTTCGTCAGAGAGGAGACGCTGGGTCCTCCGTGGCGCCAGCTGCACCTCAAGCGCGCAGCCGCCGTGTGCGGCCAGGCCTCACGGGGCGGCGACGGCCCCCTCCCACCCGCGCCGTCCGCTTCCTCCTGGGGCCCAGGCTCTGTGTGCCCCGCCCTCGAGCCTTCGTGGGCAGCGGGGCGCGTGGGGGTTTGCACGGGTGACGTGGGGTTTGCGGCTGGCTCCCCTCGCTGTGCCTGACGTCTGCGTCTCTGTCGGCACTTTCCTACGGCCTTAAGGCCCCCTCGGCTGTCCGGCTGTGTCCCCTGTGGAGACGCCGCGAGCGGGGGTGTGATTCGCAGGACACAGGAAAAGCGCAGTGTTCGTTAGACCCGCGTCTGCGTCTCTGCTGAGGTTTGGATGTGGCCGCGCTTCGAAGGCCGCCGAGTCCGGTGACATCTACTTCAAAGGATGAGGCCGAAGTAATGAATTCCGCGCCCCGTGAGTGCTGCCTGCTTCCTGGCCCTGCAGGAAGTGAGCTTTTTGATATTTGGTGAGCTCGGACCCCAGAGCCGTTCTCGAACTTCGTGCTGTCCTTGTGCGTCTGAGAACGACGCGGGAATCTAAGAGGGCGCGAGTCTGGGCGGCCTCCCGGGGCTCCCCGCCTGTTCCCCCAGGACCGGGCGCTCTTGGCAGGCGCCTCTTGAGTTCACAGCCCCTGAGCGGGGTCTCGTTCCCCCTGGGGCTCCAAGCTGAGTGCCCAGGCCGTCCAGGGAGCTCCGGGGAGGGTTCCGGGGCTGAGTCCTGGGAACCTGTCCCCAGCGTAGACTCTGCAGGCTGCTCTCAGGCCTGGTCGGCCACCAGGGTGAGGGTGGGAGAGAGAAGCGTGGTAAGGGCCTCGTGACCAGGAGCTGCACCTGCCCCCCAGGACCAAGCAGCAGCCTTGCGTGATGACAGGGCGGTCCACTCAGGCCGGGCCGGTGTGGGGCTTCCTCCGGCTGCCCCCAGGCCATTTTGCAGGGTCCTTGTGCCCAGACACAGCCATGGGGGTTGGGGGAGACCGGCACTTTCCGGAGGCCCGTGGAGCGCCGTGGCCCCAGAAGGCGTTTGCGCTTGCTCTTCCTTTGGTTGTTTTTAGCTCAGTGGACTCGGGCGTGGGCGGGTCGGCCTCCAAGCAGTACAGTGAGGGCGTCTCCGCCCCGCACCGCAGGGCCCCTCTGGCGGACGCAGGGAGTGGGGGGAGTGGGGCCGAGCAGGGGGACCAGAGTGCGGTGGGGACTGTGGAGGGGGCGGGCCTGAGGGTGGGCGCCGTGGCCCCGCTGCCCCAGGGCGCTACCGGGGGGTGGCGGTTCCAGGATGGGGCCTGGGGGTCCTGGCGCCCCGGGCTACTCTCTACAGCGGCGTCCCCCGCACTGCCTGAGCTCCGCACCACCCTCCCCACCCACGATACCCACCCCACCCCTGTCCGCGGAAAATCATCTTCCGTGAAACCGGTCCCTGGTGCCAAAAAGGTTGGGGACGCTGCTTTATAGGAAAACGTGTTCTGTTTTTAACCACGGCCCCTGCAGGTGAGAACTGGTCACCCTCGGGGCTGGGCGTCGGGCCTCCTTTCAGGAGGAAGCTTTATTGGCGAAGCCCAGGCAGATGAATGCCAGCTGGTCCCAGCGCCAGGTGTCAGCGAGTGCGGCCGCGCACAACGGGCTCGTGGGAGACGCTGCACTTGAGCTCCGCGTCGCAGGGGACCCGGGATGAGCACCCCCAGGCGGCAGCAGGTCAGTGGGGGGCCGGGTGGGGGCACAGGAGAGCACGGGGTCCGCCCGCGTCGCAGGGGCTGGCGCAGACTGGCCGTGTCTTGGGCTCGTGCCGGGTGCTGCTCCCCTCCCCCGCCTCACCGGGTCTGTCTCAGGCCAGCACTGACCCAGGCGAGGGCCGAGCTGACTGCCGACACGGCCTGGACACTGCGCTCGGGGTTTTCCATCCCGGCAGCTGCGACCTGACTGCCCGTGTGACCCTTCACCCTGGCTGCTCCTAAATCCATGCTTTAAAAATAATACAGCGTAACCAGGGCTTTGCTGGCCCAGTTGGAAACTTTTACCAAAGCCTGTTAGTGCCGGAGCAGGGCCGGCCTGCAGGCAGCGCGGCGGGTTCCTCCGAACAGCTCCCAGGCCCGAGCCTCCGACACCGCGGCTCTCCTGCCGCTGCTGCCGGGGATGGTCCGCCTCATTCTCTTCCCAGCCCCGAGTGCAGCGATGCGGCTTCTGCTGATTAAATCGTCCCCGTGCTCAGAGGCGGCCCCGATTGGCCGTCCCGGGCTTACCGCTGCCAGGCTACCGCCGGCAGGGCCGGCCCCAGGCTCCTTTCTGGGGTCTTCTCGGGCCTTTCCGTGTTGCTTAGTCGCTCAGCCTGCACCGGGGGAGCACTCTGGAGAGCGCAGCCCCCAAGCGCCGGCTGAGCCTGGAAGCAGAGCCCCTCCCGCCTGCTCCCTGGCAGCGTCTGGCCGAGTCCCGCAGGGAAGCCTGGGTCAGGTGGCTCTAAGCACTTGCCGGTGACGCGTGCTGGCCGAGGACCGGTCACTGCCCAGGTGGAGAGGGTTCCTGCATTCTCTCGCGAGTGGCCCTCAGTTGGCCGTGAACACCGGAGAGGGAGGGGCCCCCACAGGCCACCTCGCGGCCCCCGGGCCCAGGTCTCCTCCTCGGATCAGCGCCGTTCTGGAATCCCCGACG